AACCGAGGTTTGGAAAGGTATATATCACCTTTAGTATGTGCTTGTGTGAATAGGAAGCATTGACATCGTTAAATTTTTTAACGTGTTTCCTCAGTTTCTGGTAGAACGGTGGCTTTTTATCATCATTAATTCAGTGCTGTAGTAATAGTGATATATTATTAAAACTGCATTCATCTCGTATTTCTAGGATATTCCCCAGGTGTTAATTACTTGTGATTAACGCGGTAAAATTGTTGTCTGTTAAATTTTATATCGATTTAAAATCGAAAATTGTGTTTATAACTATTGTTTTAAGATGAAATATTCATCGACCGAACAACGAACAAACAATGAATATACAACAAATACTGTGAACATACAGTAGTGTATAAAGACACGGTAATATGTGCAGTCCAATCTCGTTATCTCGAACTCTTATCATTCGAAGACCTTTTACAATTCGAAGTATTTAGTTGGTCATGGCCAAACTTTACGCTTACAATTATATCTTCCTTAACTCAATTAATCGGATAACTCGAAGTTTCCCCTACGGTCCCGCCGACCTCGAGATAACGAGGTTCAACCGAAAGTTATAAAAAATCATTTATGTAATTAACTTCACAATTAAATAATACATTATGATGAGGAAAATATGCATCTTATGTTTCAACTATATAAATCTTGACGTTATTTTATTAGAAAAAAAAATTTTAAAGTGGCCACAATGAAGAATTACACTAGTTTATGTATTAATCATGTTAAATATGACCTTGTCTTGTATTATTTAGTATTTTTAAAGGTAAAGGTCAATTGTTAAGACCGACTTTAATCCTCAAAACGGAAAACGTTCCCAACGTAGGAAGTGGTTATAAGGTTGTTTATTAGAAAAACAACAAGAAATATCAACATGTCAACACAATTATAATCCAAATTCAAATTTAATAAAACTAGAGCAAAGTATGAACAAAAGAAAGGTTTACATGGAGACATCTGAAAAAGTACCAGGAAGATAAGACCAGGTGTTCCGGAAGAGTCTTCTGTTTCATTTTTGACTCTCTTAGCATCTTTCATGATTATGCAAAATTAGAATTTCAGTCAGTATAGTCAGATAATAGATTGAACTTCGTTATACATCTCTTTTGTCGTTCTAGGAATAAGGGTTTTAATTTTGAAATTGAGAGGCGACTACAGAAAATCACAACTGAACGAAAGAAATATCTAATTTTAGGAGAGAGATGCACGAAACCATGTAAACATACGTTTATTTTCGTCAAAGTTCAAGTAATATCACTGCAGTTGTTTGGAGGCAATATGCGAGGGTCAAGGTCGTAAAGCGAGACATTGACACGTGCAAGTGAAATACCATTCATGATATGAGAAATGCCTGACTGTAGTCATTAGACACTTACAAAAATGTTCTCTGGAAAATAAATATTGTCTATTTTACACGTCAAATAAGGAAAAGTATACCAGTTACAGTCGACCATCTGTAACAACCAAGAAACGTTAGCTGTCAAAAGTAGTTTAAAATGATACATGTTCGCAAGATGTTAAAGCTAGTTTTGAAAGAAAACCAAACCGTCGTGAAAATGGTGAGGATGGATTTCGGGATGTGTGGGCGACGGTTTATATGAATTATGATTCTTTAGGGAGTTATTGCGATGTGAAATACTGAACAGACTCGTTCTGATGTAGTCGTATGCAGACTAATCCGTTTAGTGATACTAGAGAGTATTAGAGATTTTAGTCAGAAGAGTGTTTGTTTCAACTCTTTCATACAAGCATGTTTTACGCATTCTTTTACATGTCAGATTATCCGAAGTTTTTTGTTGTTAAAAAATTGACGCAGTTAAGACAGAGGATTTCTGAATCGGAAGACATTTTTTCGCTTTTCCTAGTCATTCGGTATAATCGGATACCGCTTTAAAAGTCTTTTACATGAAAACAATCTTTACATTCCGTGGAGCATTTCTCATTTCACGTTGCTTTCTTTAATATCAAAAGTGTAATGCACGTTCATCGTGAGGCCTCGTAGTTTGGGTTGTACAGCCATATGTTTTTATCCTATCAACACATCAGCCGGTTCGCTAATTGATAAAAAAAACACCGACAGGGGGTGCCACCTGTACCGAGCTGTACAAATAGCTTACGCGTGTCTGCGTGTGCGTTGCGCGTTTCTGGTACGATATCTATGAGTATATGATCGGTCCTGCCGCTATAGTTATCTCTGTGTGTTTCACCTTTAAGTCAATTAAGGGTTTACTCTTTTCTTGGAAGACAACGTGACTTTTTTTAGCTGATTTTATTTCAAAATTGTCACGAGTGTGAAAAAACAGTAGGGTACAAGTACACTAGTGTAGATGTAATTGCTTGGGAAGTTAGTCTGTGACTTCTTTCACAAGGTATTTGCATTTCTACAAGAGATGTATATACCGGTAATAATACCGTAGAGCCCTTTAGGTCAGGTCGGATGGCTTCTAGTTAAGATCTGTCGTATTCATGTGGTTGATAAGGGGAGGCCACTCATTGAAGTGGGCCCTCTGTATGATCATGGATTTTCTTCCGTGTCATCAAGCAATGGTCTTACTTCCCTAGTCAAATCAATTCAGTTATTTTTCTTTCTCTTTTTTTCTGCTCTTTCTTCCTGTACTTTGTTTTACAAACTCGGTGTCGCCCATGATACCTGTTCTTATATGACAGATAGAACATTGAACTTGGCACAATCAAACTTAGTCATATATCGTTGTTTGTCGAATGAATAAGTTTTTATTTTACTCAACACTAAAATAAGTGTTACTTTTCACAATGCCTGATTTGATTTTCCTGTTACTTTATCCATTCCGATTTAGATGTAGCCCGTTTGTCTCGTGACGAACAAAACACGTGAAAATCTTATACCTCTCCACATCGTATTTAAACACCAAACGTTTTACAAGGCGTTGGATTGGTATGCGGAAATAGTTAATTCTGCTTCAAGACCTCTTAGTGAAGATCTGTCGTATTTCATGTGGAATTGATAACCTTTACCTCGGGGAGGCCACTCATTGAAGTGGGCCCTCTGTATGATCACTCAACACAAAAATAAGTGTTACTTTTCACATTGCCAGATTGGATTTTCCTGTTACTTTATCCATTCCGATTTAGATGTAGCCCGTTTGTCTCGTGACGAACAAAACACGTGAAAATCTCATACCTCTCCACATCGCATTTAAACACCAAACGTTTTACAAGGCGTTGGATTGGTATGCGGAAATAGTTAATTCTGCTACAGTTCAAGACCTCTTATTTCGTCTCGTGCGGTAACTCCGCATGTCATGTTGAAAATCATGGCACGGTTCACAAAATTCCGTTCCAGTTGAATTGCAGTACACCTTTACCTCGCGGTTTGGTAGTGTAATACCTTTGTGCAAGCTCTTAACTTACGTTTTGTGAGTGTGTATTACCTATGTGAGAGCCCTGACTAACGATGTGATAGTGTATTTATTACCTATGTGAGAGTCTTGACTAACGATATGATAGTGTATTACCTATGTGAGAGCCCTGACTAACGATATGGTAGTGTATTACCTATGTGAGAGTCCTGACTAACGATATGGTAGTGTATTACCTATGTGAGAGTCCTGACTAACGATATGATAGTGTATTACCTATGTGAGAGTCCTGACTAACGATATGGTAGTGTATTACCTATGTGAGAGCCCTGACTAACGATATGGTAGTGTATTACCTATGTGAGAGCCCTGACTAACGATATGGTAACGGTTTTGTTGGGTACATGTATATGTAATAGTTTGTAAGAGCTCTATTTTCCGATGCTGGCGAGACAGGATGTGAGATGTGATGTAGCTACTGGGATTTTTTTTTCAGTAAATGAGCTCTATTAACTTAAGTGATAAAATTCCATTTTCATCCTTTCCTGATAATGTATCATATTAAGATTTGCTATAACGAGTGTTTTATCTGTATGAACATCAAATTATTGGCCGCGCGTGATAAAAGCTCCCGACATGTTACACTTAATATAGACATAAGATTAATCAAAATTGAGGTCAAGCGTTTTTGTCATGGAATTAGGCTACCATCTCTTGAGTCGAACATGAAATTATGTTAAAAAATCAATGCAACACACAAAATATATCAGGGTCTTTTTCGGTATCATCGTATACGTTTGTGTCGTAACGTATTTACAAAATCGCTTCACAAATCAAATACACATCAGTATCTCGATCGATGTCCGCAGCTTCATCCCATCCACTCCGTGGACAATACGCCTAGTGAAGACATACGGACCGATAGTAGTCAACCATAATTCCATTACATATCTATTGTTGTGGTAACTGAATCGTTACATCATTCTTTGGTGTAGCCGTATCACCGCCTCTGTCTGTCACTCTTAAAGCTCGCTACAGTACGCAACATTGTTGACACGTACAATTCCTCTCGTGTTAGAACGTTACAGATGTATGGAAGTAAAATTGTTTAAAGTTTAAAAAAAAAAAAAAAAACGGCGTTCAAAGAAATAAGAAGAGGAAGCAGGTAATGGCACACTTCATTATCATGTTAATTCTTCTCTACCCGTGTCTGATTATCAGTTTCCGTGGAACCTGGGGCCGATTTATGATCATGTATAGAACTGGAATACGTTGAAAGTTTTGGTTGTGTTTCGGGATTATTCATAATTCCTTGTATCTCTTAGAGGAATAAGGTTGTAGGTCTGCAAGTGATTTCCCACAGGGACGCACGCCTCGCAAAATGGATTAATTCGCCTGCTTATCGAGTCATTTCTTCGTCTTTAGTACATTGATTTCTGATCTGAAAAACGGATCCTATGAAACCTTCCATAGAGCATTGAATGGGCGCAACAAGATATATCAAGGGGAATAACTCTCACGCATATAATATCTTTCCGCCTGGTTAGTGCCTTGGTGAGAAGATACACCTACGTGTGCTGTGCTACGTGTATGTGTGTAGTGGGTTTTTTCTACAGATATTGAATTTCTGATCGTTTTATGTGTTGACAGGTTTGTGGACTGATCAGTTCGGGAAACGGTGTCTAGACGAACAACCCACAGAGGGACAGCTCCACCACTGTAAGTGCTGTTATTGTCTGTAAATGTCAGTCTGTGTGATGAAGAGGAAAGTGTGTGTCCAGTAACCTCCTTAATCCCAACACAAGTGTACACTAATACATTTGCTGGTCGTTGATAGCTCCTCTGCCTGTTAATCTTCTGATAATATTGTATTCAGTAGTCAAATAATATATTCATCAAATTGACAGTTCGCTAGTGACACGTTCAATGAGCTATTGCATGTATCTTCACTTCTTTTCGTTTCCAATTGTCCATATACATATATATATATATATATATATATGCAAGTTTTAATACTCTCTTTAACATAGTTTGCTTATATAAAACTGTGTATTTCATTTCCAAAATGTTGAAAATCAATTCTTTTATTTTCCCACAGAATCGGAGAAGTGTTAAGATGATCATGACATCAAAAGACAAAGTAAGCTTACTCTACGATACAGAAAAGGGGATGTATTTATCAAGTAGCGCGTGCTGTCGTAAACTGTCTCGATACAAGACATTAGCATGTTTATTTGTTGTCATTGTTGCTACAATACTGATAACATCAGCATGTATTTCCGATAAATTTTTATGGCGCGAACACGCGTGTGAACTGACACCGTTAGCGCCACCTAAAGAATATGTATCAATGTGTAGTAAACTGAAGGACGGAAATCCTCGGAAGAAACTGCCTGAAGCTCTTATTATCGGGGTACGGAAGGCAGGAACAGGGGCCATGCGTTTTTATCTGGACATGCACCCTTACGTGGAAATTGCAAATGCAGAAATCAATTTCTTTGATTTCGAGTATCAGAATGGGATTGAATGGTATAAAAATCAGTTGCCCATGGCATTACCAGGTCAATTAACCATGGAAAAAACAAGTAATTATTTCCATAACAAAAAAACTATAAACCGGATTTATAACATGAGTTCAAATATCAAACTGATTGTGGTTGTCCGGGAGCCGATCGAGCGGTCAGTTTCCGATTATCTCCAACGAAAGCTGAAGGTGAGCGACAAAGATGACGTCACTTATCCAGCGTTTGAGGAATTTGTGATAGATCAGGACACGGGAGAGGTGGATGGTTCTGAAAAGATCATCACGCCTTCTATTTATCACAAACACGTTGTTAAATGGCTCAAATACTTTCCTTTGGAAAACATGCATTTCGTGGATGGGGGTAATTTGATTCTTCATCCGTACGAGGAGGTGAAGAAAGTGGAGCGTTTTCTTGGAATACCCCATTGCTTGACGCAAGATAAATTTGTATTCAGCTCAACCAAGGGGTTCTACTGCGTAAAAAAGAACAAAGGTCACAGAGAAGAGACAAAGTGTCTGCCTGAAACCAAGGGCAGGCCCCATCCGCCTATCGACCCAGAGGTTATGCAAAAGCTGAAAATTTTCTTTAAACCATTGAACCAGAGGTTTTACAGAGCGATTGGCCGGTCTTTTAATTGGTGAATATTTCTGATGTTATTCTTCAACAGGCAGCTCTTCCATTTGTGATCCTAAACATGTTTTTTGTGTTTAAATGTAGTTATATGGTATATGATAGCAGTGTGATGGTGAGTCAATACCTACTTAACAACGTATACGAGCGAATGATTTCACTTCCGTGAGGAAAAAACTTTGTGCGTCAAGAGCTTCACCTACTTTGTTGATGTGTTTACAAATACGGTCAGTGTATTGGACATTGTATATGAGTCCTGTGTTTAAGGCTAAATGGCTTTATGTGTTGTGTAATACCCATCATATGTTAAATTTCTATTTTTATAAATTTCCGCTACATGTATATTTTGGTCACTGCAGTGATCAAACCATATACGCACTCTGAAGTCAATAATTAACGTACAGTTAACATATTGCCATTCGAAATGTTACAAACCTGACATAGTCTATGTGATATGAAACTGTTAAAAGTATTCGGTTTTGAAAGGATTTTGCTTTTTACTTTAAAATGGAAACTGAATTTTTATTTCAATCAATAGAAAACTAAAACTGGCTTGTACGTTTCAGTCCCCCTACTAGAAATGTTCTTGCATATAGAAAATCGAACAGATCTTTAATCTATAACATTACATTGACTCTCATCTCAGCTTTATCAAAATCTGCATTCGATTTGGTTATTCATGTATAGGGGCTTGGTTTTGTTAAACTGACGTATTTAGGAACATTTCATACAAGGCCTTATATATATATTCGGTAGTGTCATTCGTTTTCATCGTTCACACATTCCATTTTCAGTGTAGTATTCGATATAATAGAGAAAATATATCATTTCATGATCATTTCCATTTTTCGTCGTTTATACCTTTTGGTTTTAAATACATTCCATATCGATTGATCAATTCAACCGAGTAAAAAGTATGTTTCATAAATCGAATTTTTCATGTACATGATGCTTTATAAAACTTCTGGTACCATTTTAGAGTTCAAACATTGAATTGTTTATGTTTGAGGAAAACTGTTTTGAAAAAGTTTGGTATCATCTGTTTTGTTAGCTGACGATATTTAATGTTGTCTGTTTCGTGAGCTGACGATGTCTATCATCATCTGTTTCGTCAGCTGACAATGGTTAATATTAACTGTTTCGTTATTGTACGATATTCAATATTATCTGTTTTGTCAACTGACAATGTTTAATATTATCTGTTTTGTCAACTGACAATGTTTGATATTATCTGTTTTGTCAACTGACAATGTTTAATATTATCTATTTTGTCAACTGACAATGTTTAATATTATCTGTTTTGTCAACTGACAATGTTTAATATTATCTGTTTTGTCAACTGACAATGTTTAATATTATGTTTCGTGAGCTGACGATGTTTAATATTATCTGTTTCGTGAGCTGACGATGTTTAATATTATCTGTTTCGTCAGCTGACAATGTTTAATATTATCTGTTTCGTCAGCTGATAATGTTTAATATTACATGTATCTGTTTCCTGAGCTGACGATGTTTAATATTATCTGATTTGTGAGCTGACAATGTTTAATATTATCTGTTTCTTGAGCTGATGATTTTTAATATTATGTTTCGTGAGCTGACGATGTTTAATATTATCTGTTTCGTGAGCTGACAATGTTTAATATTATCTGTTTCGTGAGCTGACGATGTTTAATATTATCTGTTTCGTGAGTTGACGATGTCGGTCATCATCTGTTTCGTCAGCTGACAATTTATAATATCTGTTTCGTTAACTGACGGTATTTAATTATATTACTTCTTCTGTTGGAGATGTTCATGTAGTGATAATTCAAACAAACGAGGTAGTCCGTTATTGTTATCTGTAAAGACGTCATGCTAACACACTGATTTGTTGTTTTAAATTCATCTCATGTTGTTACAATGACTTTTTGTCTGTTTAGAACGGAAACCTTACAAAATATGTTATTGTAGACATATATAAGTTTGTAAACAGGTGATTTGTTTACTAACTGAACTTTAAAGCCAGTAGAATTGTGTTCGTACTTCTGGTGTAATTACGATAAATACAAATGACCCAGTTCCGTCAGATTTGGGTCATTTGACCGATATGGACATCATTACTGGACCTTATCCTGTGGTACACACTATAACCTGACAGATTTAAGATGGTTAGTTCGTACAGTGCTAGTTATTTACAGCACTGCCAACACACTGACGTAAACATTTGCGGAATATTGTATTAATTTGTTTTCAATGATGAATGTGTTTAAAAAAAAAAAAAAACGCAGAATGACATTTTCTACATGTAAAATATTGCCTGTTAGACTACATATCATGACAATAGATTAAACTACCGTTCATACATATATATCATAATGGGGAATTTTAGTATCGCATTTAGATAAAATATGTATATAAAGAATCCCCATATAAGTGCTATCATACGAATGCTATTAGACAATGTGTAATTACTAACACAAGACAGATATCCATGGTATAATGATGCTGAAATAATCAATAAACGCTGTAATATTAAGTAATAACCGGAAAATCGTATATCTGAATATAATTTCCTCATCAATGACTTATCAACGTTGTTGATATGTGTAATGACTTGATATTTGTTTATATTGAAACAATACCTTTATATGTCAAAAAGTGTACACAATATCACTGTCTATTGACAGGAGTCAACAAGTGTACACAATATCACTATCTACTGACAGATGTAAACAAGTGTACACGACATGACTATCTATTGATAGATAAAAAAAATAAAGATAACGGATTGACAGTAATTCACAGTAAAGTTCAGTAACAATTTCAGTACCATAAACTAAACGTAACTCAAACCATGGATGATTGCAAACTGGAAGCTGAGGAGATCAGCTGGAAACGCAGACATGGATTTTCAAATTTACAAAGGTCTCACTCGAAGACTTTAAACAAATCAAACTTGCTTAGTGTTCATAAAATACGTGCCGAGCTCAGGTAGCTTTCGTTTCCATTTTCTGCGCATCAGCCTCACACAATTTATGTTTGTTTGTACTCTTAGATTCTGTTCAAAATGAGAATAATTTATCAGAAATGTAAATATCAGTTGACACATTATCTATTTGAGAAGAACACTGGTTGGAGACTAATTCAGGTCGATGTCTATTACAATGTAATTAGACGATACAATGTGTTTAAATAATCGCTTTAAATATATTATCAGTATACATTTATACCAGTAAACGATTGATCAAGATCAGTAAGAGATCGATATCGATCGCCAAATTATTGGTAAAGATAAATAAAGGATCGATTCAGACAAGTAAAGGATTAATTAAGACAAGTAATGGGTCGATTCAGACAAGTAAAGGATTAATTAAGACAAGTAAAGGGTCGATTCAGACAAGTAAAGGATTAATTAAGACAAGTAAAGGGTCGATTCAGACAAGTAAAGGATTAATTAAGACAAGTAATGGGTCGATTCAGACACGTAAAGGATTAATTAAGACAAGGAATGGGTCGATTCAGACACGTAAAGGATTAATTAAGACAAGTAATGTGTCAATTCAGACACGTAAAGGATTAATTAAGACATGTAATGGGTCGATTCGGACACGTAAAGGATTAATTTAGACAAGTAATGTGTCAATTCAGTCACGTAAATGATTAATTAAGACAAGTAATGGGTCGATTCAGACACGTAAAGGATTAATTAAGACAAGTATTGTGTCAATTCAGACAAGTAAAGGATTAATTAAGACATGTAATGGGTCGATTCAGACAAGTAAAGGATTAATTAAGACAAGTAAAGGGTCGATTCAGACACGTAAAGGATTAATTAAGACAAGTAATGTGTCAATTCAGTCACGTAAATGATTAATTAAGACAAGTAATGGGTCGATTCAGGCAAGTTAAGGATTAATTAAGACAAGTAATGGGTCGATTCAGACACGTAAAGGATTAATTAAGACAAGGAATGGGTCGATTCAGACACGTAAAGGATTAATTAAGACAAGTAATGTGTCAATTCAGACACGTAAAGGATTAATCAAGACATGTAATGGGTCGATTCAGACACGTAAAGGATTAATTAAGACAAGTAATGTGTCAATTCAGTCACGTAAATGATTAATTAAGACAATTAATGGGTCGATTCAGACACGTAAAGGATTAATTAAGACAAGTAATGGGTCGATTCAGACACGTAAAGGATTAATTAAGACAAGTAATGGGTCGATTCAGACACGTAAAGGATTAATTAAGACAAGTAATGGGTCGATTCAGACACGTAAAGGATTAATTAAGACAAGTAATGGGTCGATTCAGACACGTAAAGGATTAATTAAGACAAGTAATGGGTCGATTCAGACAAGTAAAGGATTAATTAAGACAAGCAATGTGTCGATTCAGACACGTAAGGGATCAATTAAGACAATATAGGATAGATTAGATTTCTTCTTATAGTCCTCAGGAAACGTGTAAATATATATGTTAATCAGATAAATATATATTATCGGGAGATAAAGATAGATTCTTAAGTGTCCGTTATAATTCGCCCTCTCTTCTCCCCTTAGTTATCTCCATACAATTCACATACACTTGTAGATTTAAAACCGCGATTTTACAGATCCGCTATTGTTTTGACGATCCCTATTGTTTATCATTGACTCTATATCTATCTATACATTTTGATCCCACCTAAGACTGCCACCAAGCTTATTTGTTTACTTTTAACCAGTCCTAAGGACGCTCGGGAAATCAGTGTCAAGTGTGTTGTTTTCTTGTTTATTGCTGACTTTGTAGATAGGACTCCACTTTTACTTTAACGAACAAAAGACATCCTAGGTGAGTGATACTGTGATTGATCTTGTACAAAAATGTTACAATTTTTCGGTTTTACGAAAATAATCATTTGTTACTCTGTGTGTGTCCATTGTTATATTCGTTTTACATAGAAATAAAATATACACAAAACAGCTGAACGCTTTCTTTACTATTCTTAACTTTCTGTTATTTCACTGTACATGTCTTGTTTTTATTTCACGTAACGCTAGGTGCGACTAAGTACAAGACACGCTTTATCTCAAATACTTTTCTCACCGAGATGCAGATATTTGATTCATCTTAACTTAAAATCCTTGCCAGAAAATCTCCATGCAGGTTCTCTTGTACAATCTATAAGATAGCAGATGGTAGACACTGCCGGTGGACTTTTAAGTCCCTGGGGTTTGCCGTTACCTCCTTATCACGTTTTAATTCACTCGAACAGTGGCACGGTTCACAATATACACATGCACTTGACGCTTTTCGAAAATTATCCGATGTATAAAAATTTTAGAAATTATATGATTATGGGGTTGCTGCACCTCCCTGTCTAAATTTTGACATTCTGATCACTGTGATTTTAGTTAGTCGCCTCCTCGACTTCAAAATTTAGGCCCTTAGCATCACTGACGAGTCCTAGAAGGACGAAACAGCTGTATGATGCAGTTTCATTCATTGTTTGTCTCTATTGTATCTCGCACTAAATTATGAAAAGGTGCTATTCACGTGTGTGTCTTTTGTACAATCTTTAAGGTACATGAACATGAGCATGTTTTTCTCGCTATTAAAGCCCTATACAACTTACTTTCTTCGAAACACGAAATCATTGCATAACAATGAGTATTTTAACTGTTTCCAGACAATTCAGGCTTTTTCTCACAGTTAAGAATCCTTCTTACTTATGGGTGATCTTGTTCTTTATTGCTACCACAGCGACAATCATACGAGCAATATATACATGTATGGAGGACAGGAGCAAACGCAAAAAATA